AGCTCGTAGTGCTGGTTCTTTTAAAATTTTAAAGCAAATTGGTCCAAATGCCTATGTTGTTGATATCCCACCACATCTTGGTTACCATTCTACTTTCAATATTGAGGACCTAGTAGCTTATAAAGGTTATTTCATTCCCTCAGATGACCCTTTGTTACCTCATTTTGTGGACCTTGATCCCGAGTATTTGGCCACTTCGAACCCACTACCACCTCTCACAGTACACAGATAAAATTGATGCTATTCTAGATAAAGAAACTGTGTTTACTAATGATGGAGAGGTTCAGCGCTTCCTCGTTCGTTGGGTTGGTTGACCAAATTCTGATTGTACATGGATCTCCAGAGAGACACTACAGCAATTGAATCCAGATTTATTGGAGTTTTATCGAAGTTAGCAGGATTTTCCTTGGCCTAGATCGCCTCCCGTTCACTCAATAGGGGTTGGTGAGGACACTAGGTTCAGACCTCCATTGACACATTTTTACAGACGTCGGAAGAAACTTGCCCAACCACTCAGCTTATGGTTGGGAGATTGATGACAGCCTAGAGTGATATATCCAGTCGACAGGGTCGAGTTTTTCTCCCACCCCGGGAGAGTTGATAAGGACATCGGACGTGACTTATTTTATTTAAGCTTTATTTATCTTTTGGACTATTATTTAAGATTTGGACTTGTATGGGCTCGGGTCCAAGCTCGTTAGGGTTGTTTAACTATTTAAACCTATTTTACATTATAATTTTCAGTTGATGATGAATGAATATTATTTGGTGGCTTATGGCGTTTTTCTCTCTTCCTGTTTCTTTCATCCCTTCTGTTGAATCCCCTTCCCTTTTTCTCTCTAATTTCCCCTCCCCATAGATCTATTCTAATTTTGCAATTAACTGTCCCGTTGGTGCTGCATCAATTTGGCTTTCTCATATTATTGGTGATAATAACATTGTTAGGAGTTCTTTTTATGACCTATTGGCCAATTATTTAGATCAGTTGTTTATGTCAATAAATGCTTGTTTTCGAGAACAGAGCATTGGATTCTTGCACCAAACATAAGTACAGTGAATTGCCAATGATAATGGAACTTCTTCAACATGTTTGTAATGTCATCTCATGGACATAATAGATTTCAAGTGCCGAGTATGGTAATTATTGACTTCAATTCTTTCTTTTAAATGAAATGTTGTTAAAGCGAAATTTTGAAAATGAAAATTAGATTTTTAACTTACATCTGGATATTGATTGTTGATTGCGGCAGACAATTTTATCTTATATGGTGGTGGGAGAGAAGTATTAGTGAAGAAAGTTTTGAAGTGAGGGCAAGGATTGTCAAATATACTTAATGATACTCAGTAAGACTTGATACCTCTCAGTGTGATAGGTTCTCCCATCATGTAGAACCAAAATCACAACTAAATATGGTAACTGTCAATTATAATATTTATTAATGGTAGCCTATTAAATGAGGTAGCTTTCCTTTAATTTTTCTTTCCTTATATTCCATTGACATCCTCCTCAAATTTATGCTTCATTAACTAGCATTGGTGACATTGCTTGTACCCACGAAGAAGAGATCCAAATCATGGCAACTATCTACGAAAAATAGTGACAGCGAGAGATCTAAGAACAAATAGTACAGAAAACAGCCAAGAACCACTCCAAGAACACTTCAAAGCCACTCCAGATAGCTCACTTCCTAAAATGAATTTCCAAAAAAAAATTCACAAAGTGTACCGATCACACACAGTGAGTTCTATCAGTTGGGAGAACTGAATCGTACACATAATTTATGTTCTAACAAAAGCTCCAACAGCCAATGCACGTGCCAAAAATTCAACAATGTATCTAGCCAAGATGCTGTAGTGGGAAGAAATCCCACCGAACAATCTACAACAAAAACTCAAAAATCTCCTAAAGTTTTAAATATAGTAGCCTAACAGATATAACCTATCACCCAAAGCATAACATTCAGCCCACATTCCACGGAAAACAGCCTATTAACCCAAAATAACCAATCCACTCCATAACAGCTCATTTAATACACCAGCTGAATACTAAAGGCCAAGCCTATAGTATCCCAATAATCCAAACCCACACTTGCCTATTTTTCATCTTTCCTAGTCCATTTTTCCCAACCTACTCTCACACTTGCTACTGTCAATTGGATAAGCCCTTGCTCAGCTCAGAGCACAATGGTACATTCATGTATCTCTTCTTCTCTCAGATTTAATTCCTCCTCCTTTTCTCTCTCTACGCCAAACCCTAGCTCTTCTGTTTCCTCTTCCTTTAAGGCCCTCTCTCCCCCTTTCCAACCCCTTTTATTGAGAAAATCAAATCCCCAAAAATCTTCTGTGAAGGCCTTTTATGCTTCGGAGTTCTATGCATTGACGGTGGCCTTGTGACGGAGTTGGAACACCATGTCATGACCTCAACGACCTTCTATGGAGTGCCAAATGCCTATTCACTTATCCTTGTCTCATCCATACCATACATCTTGATTATCTTGAAGCTGGTGTAGATATATTAATCTGACCATACTGGTGACAGTAGAATTCTCAAGCATAGGTCCATCATGGTTTCGGCATCCGTGGGGAGTTACAGGGCTTATCTAGCTGATGTTTCTAAATACAGTGGTTGCTGTGGAGATGCTGTGGAGATAAAGTTTCTTAAAGACTTTCATTGAAGAAGGGTTAAGGCTCTTGCGGACTCTGGTCTTGATCTTATAGCTTTTGAAATAGTACCAAACAAGTTGGAAGCTCAGGCTTTTGCTTAGGTTCTTGAGGAAGAAGACATTAATATTCCTACGTGGCCGTCCTTCCAACTCTAATGATGGTGTTAACGTGGTTTAGCGCGATTTTTTTTTTTTGAATGTGTTGCCGTTGCTGAATCGTCCAAGAAAATTATTGTTGTAGGAATTAACTATACCCCTCTAGATTTATTCGAGACCTAATTTGTCCATCAAGAAGGTAACAGACAAACCAATACTTATTTACCCAAATAGTGCAGAGATAGAGACAATTAGAGGGAGAATTATCAGAATAATAGACTGGACGAGAGGAGCTTGTGAGAAAGTCCAACCAAGATAACGAGAGAAAATCTAAGGAACTGGCTCTAGTTCTGATACCGTGTCAAATATATTCAATGATACTCAATAAGACTCGACACCTTTCAATGTAAGAAATTCTTTCATTAGATAGTACCAAAATCACAATTAATTATGGTAATTATCAATTATAATACTTATTAATGGTAACCTATTAAATATATTCCACTGACAAGGTTTACATTTCTGCTAATTGGGATCGGTTAAATGATTGTAATTATCCACCCATCACTTCAGGACCTTAAGACTAATTTTGGTTAATTTATTCTATCATATGAAAGTAGGGATGTCAATTTAACTCGTTGGTTCGGGCCGTCTATGGCTTGGCCCGAAAAAATCCCGAGTTGAGGCTCAAGCCGAGTTCCATTTTGATGTTGGCCCAAGCCCGAGCTAGCCCTTCTGGCTCTCTGGCTCGGGCTCACGGGCCTTTTAAAAAAAAAAGGAAAAAAATGAATTTAAAGGCAACAACACGTTGCCTTTTAAAATGTAGCATGTTGCCTTTTTTAGGCAGTAAAATGCTATCTTTTAAGGCAGCCGAGTGCTGCCTTAAAAAATGTAGAAAACATCAGTTATTTAAAAAATAAAAAAATAAAAAAGAGCATGCCCGAAAGCTCGGATTGAGCCTAGATTTTTTGGCCGAGCAAAAGCTCGACTTGGCTCCGAGCCTAGAAAATAGCTCGCACCATTTTACGTGAGCTGAGCCCGAGCCTCGAATTTCGGCTCGCGAACCGACTTGGATAGTTGATATCCCTGCATGAAAGTATAACATGACATAGGAGACTAAGAATTTTGATTTGCATGTTCCTATATTCTCTGTTACTAGTTCCATTAGCCCACGTAAATATGAGTTGAATTTCAGAATTAGTGAATGTCTGAGAATTTCACAATTTGTTTAGTGTTTGCAAATTTCTTTTATATTGCACTAGCTTATCAAGATTCAAGAGTACTGGCACTTATGGTCCATGTTATTTTGTATTGCATCATTTTCCATGTTTATTTCTTGTCCACAATGAGTACATGGCTCTATCACATAATTGGTTAGATCAGTATTTGAAATATCATTGATGCAGTTTAGGATGGAGGGGTCTTATTTGAATTTCATTATTTATGTTTTCTGTTTCGTATTGAACATTTGGCTTCCTCAAATTATTTGTGACACCATTATATGCGGAATAGCATTGATGCAGTTTCAGATCGAGATTTTGTTTTGGAGTTACTTTCTGCAAATTCCATCACAGCAATCCATCTCTCTCGGCTTGGTGAAGAATGGGTATTGTGGGCTTCAGAAGAATTTGGGTTTCTCACACCTAGTGACTCTGTTTCAACTGGAAGCAGTATAATGCCACAGAAGAAGAACCCAGTTTGTGTAGTTAACTTAAAAGAGATAGATTTAAATTTATGATACTTTCTAATGATTCAGTTAAAATTATTCACAAACATAACAATCCTTATTAACCACGAATGCATGAGATTTTGAGAAGGAAATGATCTAATGAATGGAAAGTCTAGAATATAGATAGCATCCTTGACATGAGATGAGCAAAAAAAGAAAAAAGAAAAAATCTTTAAGCTGAATTTTTTGTGCTCTATATTTGCCCTTATACAAATGTTAAGCATGTCTAGCCAGATAAACAATTATTATGAGGACTAAAGAGTATCCTTTGTAGGGAATATCCTAGTCTTTGCATATGTTTGAATGATCACATGGATTTCCATGTTCTCTTGTATTCTCTTCCGTAGTTAATCCACTAAATTTTGCTGTTCTCCATCCATATTGCCTTGATTTACACTTCTTTATATTTTGTTCTCATAATTCTTTGGTGGGCTGAGAGGATTATGCAAGTTCAGTTGTGAGAGATGTTTTCATTTTAGGTTCAGCCATGCAGCTTACATCTGCTTACCACCATTTCAATTTTTTATTGTAGCTTGACCGTGATGCTGACCGTTTGCTAGACTGCCGGGTAAGAATTAATTTCTGTCCCCTGGGCGCCTGTGCGTTGGCTGGAACTGGTCTGCCAATTGATAGGTTTATGACTTCTGAGGCATTGGGATTCACTGCTCCCATGAGAAACAGGTATTTTCTAAATCGTCTATGACAAATACAACTTTTAGAGTTTGAATTATTGTTTAGTGTAAATTTTTCTGTTTGATGCACCATTCATTATATGGTTTAGCTTCTCTTTGTGTGAAATTTTTCATTATATGGTTTAGCTTCTCTTTGTGTGAAATTTTTCATTATATGGTTTAGCTTCTCTTTGTGTGAAATTTTTCATTATATGGTTTAGCTTCTCTTTGTGTGAAATTTTTCATTATATGGTTTAGCTTCTCTTTGTGTGAAATTTTTCATTATATGGTTTAGCTTCTCTTTGTGTGAAATTTTTCATTATATGGTTTAGCTTCTCTTTGTGTGAAATTTTCACTTTCTTTCCATTTGCTTGGCTGTGAGAAGTACTATATGCAAACTCTCATAAACTGTAGTCCCCTGGTTCTCCAGGACAAGACACTAGCTATTGTTTGGACTCTCTCAGCAGTCCTTTCTTCTGTTTCAACAAGCTTATTTCATGTGTCGTCATGTTGGCACTAACCTGCTGCTTAAAACAGAGATCATGTTCTTGCTATTGTAGCCAAACATATTTGCGTCCTTTCCTTTTATCCCCCCAAGATATACTAAAAAATCCCTTTCTTGTCCTGTCTTATAGTGAGATATCTTACCTGCCCTTTGCTGCCTTAGAGATCATGAAGAGTTTCATTGTTTTGGCAAGAAAGAGTATCTTGTTTTGGAACCTCATATGAATCTACTTCTAAATTGGATGGTGTAGTGGTGATTTTTATGCTCTTATTTTTAACTACTTCAAGTGAAATTTTTCCTTCTACTTTTTATTTTTCTTTTATATTCTTTGCAATACACAAAGAATGTCTTGATATTTTTGGCAGCTCAATTAATTTTGGTTATATTTAATACCCAATTCAATAATTTATATGAGCATGTTTGGCTAAGCTTAAAAATAAGTAAAAGTTACTTTTAAGAAACTATGTAAGCGTGTTGGGAAGTTACTTTTTCTTCCTTCTAAGTGAAATATTTACTTGTTTTCAACATTTATCAAGAACAAAATATTTATTTCAATAATTATATATACTTGAAACTTTTTGAAGTTTAACCAGACATGCTCATAAATATAAAATTCACTAAAATACTTTTTAATTCCCTATTTTAAATAAAAAGTTGAATTGGTTAAATAATGTAGCTTCTAGGTATTTGGGAAAACTATCAAACAAGAAAAGGAGGTAATATTATGAAAAATATGATCACTAGATAGTAATTTAGTTATTTTGGCAATCAGGTTTAGAAGATCATGTAACAGTTTATTTCTTGCTTCCATTTGAATATTTTTACGCTATTTAGTTGGTTTATTTTTTGTCAGTTTTTCCCTTCGAAAGAGAAAATCTACTGCATGATAGAAATCACTGCATAATGCGTATTTTGCATTCTTTAAAGATGTCTACAAAATGCCCATTTATATCAGGTTCATAAAAATGACAATGACTGAAGGGTTAGGAATGACATTAGATTGACACCTCAGCTTAAAATTCTGGTCAGGCACTAGCTAGTTTTATGCCGTTACTCTGGAGTTTAGTTAATCTTCGAGAGTTCTTGTGCATCATTTTTGAAATTAGATTAGGTTCTTGTTTCGAACCTGACCTTTGAAAAAATTCCATCCTCTATTAGTCTTTGCTCTTGTGCATTTAGAGGCTTCGTTATGAAACCGTATGAATGAAGACCCTCCAGGCTGGTCTCATTTCTTTTTTTGGGTTGGAGTCCTCCAGGTGTACTGTATATATTTGGTTATATCTTAGTGGTGAATATTATCTTAACTGGAGATGTCAGATGATATTTTGTATTTGTGGGAGCATAGGATTGTGTCAAAAGGGCTGAGCAAATTTGCTTTTGATGTTTAAAACTCGAAGCACGATATTTGGGCTTCTTTTGCATTTTTATAATGTCACCACACCAAAATAATTGATTTAAATTGCCTGAATTTGTACGGGTAGAGAGTCTTAGGTTCTTTTTAAATCATATGCCTGTTAGGTATTCATATCGATATTTTCTTTTGGGGTTCATTTTTGTTGCTTTCTTTTCTCAATTGAGCATTTGTGATGAGGACATCGGACGTTACTTATTTTTTTTAAACTTTATTTATGCTTTATTTATCTTTTGGACTATTATTTAAGATTTGGACTTGTATGGGCTCGGACCCAAGCTCGTTAGGGTTGCTTAACTATTTAAACCTATTTTACATTATAATTTTTAGTTGATGATGAATGAATATTATTTGGTGGTTTATGGCGTTTCTCTCTCTTCCTGTTTCTTTCTTCCCTTCTGTTGAATCCCCTTCCCTTCTTCTCTCTCTCTTCCTGTTTCTTTCTTCCCTTCTGTTAAATCCCCTTCCCTTCTTCTCTCTAATTCCCCCCCCCATAGATCTATTCTAATTTTGCAATTAACTGTCCCGTTGGTGAATTTGGTATTAGAGCCGAATCTTGGGTATTTTCTTTTACAATCCAAAATCTCTTCTTGGGTACTTTCTTTTACAATCCAAAATCTCTTATTTTCTCCCAAATTTCGTTGGAACAGCACAATTGAAAGAGGTTTAGCATAAGAAGCAGCAATTTTTTTTTTTTTTTTTCATTTTGTTCCTACCCTTGTTGAGAAAAAAAAATTCGTGTTACTGTTCACGGGTACTGTTCACACCAGGGATTCCAAATTTTTTATTTTCTTTCTGCTGACCCTGCTAAGGTTCAGGCGATTATTGACTGGCCTGAGCCTAAAGCTATTCATGACGTCAGGAGCTTTCACGGCTTCGCTATATTTTACCGTCGCTTTATTACGGAGTGCATGAAGAAAGGGGGGGTTTCATTGGACACAACAAGCGGCTAAAGCCTTTAAGTTGGTCAATAAGCGAATGACGGAGGCTCCTGTCATGCGCCTTCCCGACTTTTTCAAAGTCTTTGAAGTTGAATGCGATGCCTCCGGTGTAGGTATAAGCGGAGTCTTGAGTTAGGAGCGTCACCCTGTTGCCTACTTCAGCGAGAAGTTAAATGAAGCCAAGCAACGGTACTCGACTTATGATAAGAAACTGTATGCGGTGGTCCAGGCTTTGCGCTATTGGCGCCACTATTTGTTACCCTAGGAATTTGTCCTTTATTCGGACCACGAGGCCCTTCGTTACCTCAACTCCTAGAAAAGATTAAGCTCTAGGTATGGTCGTTGGATTGAATATTTACAGGCCTATTCATTTGTTTTAAAACACAAGAAGGACGTGGAGAACCAAGCAGCTGATGCTTTAAGTCGTCGTGTCTCCCTTTTGTCGATCAGGAGTGTCTAGGTCATCGGTTTTGAAAGGATTAAGGAGGACCACGAGGCATGTCCCGATTTTAAGGATATCTTTCTCGATTTGCAAAAGGGACAATGACACACACCACAGATGGCTTTCGACTTGAGGAGGGTCATCTCTTTCGAGCCAATAAATTGTGCATCCTTCGAATTTCAGTGCGAGATTTCATCGTGTGGGATATTCACGCGGGAGGGTTAGCCGGTTACTTTGGACGTGATAAGACCATAGAAGAAGTTGAACGTCAATTCTATTGGCCTAGCTCGAAGAAAGACGTGGCTAAAATTGTTAGTACTTGTAACACTTGTCAATTAAGTAAACAGAAGAAGCAGAACACAGGTCTATATACCCCTCTTCCCATCCCCAATTGTCTTTGGCAAGACGTTAGTATGGATTTTGTATTAGGCATTCCACGCACCCCAAAGAAACATGATTCTATTTTTGTGGTTGTCGACCGTTTTTCGAAAATGACTCATTTTATCCCCTGTAGCAAAACCTCAGATGCGTCTAAAGTAGCTATGTTGTTCTTTAATGAGATTGTTAAATTGTATGGGCTTCCTAAGACCATTGTGTCCGATAGGGATGTTCGTTTCACTAGCCATTTTTGGAGGACTTTGTGGCAAAAGATGGGTACCAAATTGAAATTTTCCACGGCCTACCACCCTCATACTGACGGTCAAACTGAAATAGTTAATAGAAGTCTTGGTAACCTATTGCGTTGTTTGGTTCGGGAAAATCTTCGAAATTGGAATTTGATCCTTCCTGTAGCTCAAATTACGTATAATAGCTCCATAAATCGTTCATTAGGTATGAGTCCATTTGAAGCCGTTCATGGGTACAAACCTAGAAAACCGTTAGATCTCATCCCTATGTCCCCACAGGCTAGAGTGTTAGTGTTAGCCGACGCATTTGCACAACATCTTCGTGATTTGCATATTGAGATCAATAAACAATTTGAAGCTAGTAATGCACAATATAAACTTCAAGCCGATTTGCATAAACGACATATTGAGTTTCACGTTGGGGATTACGTTATGGTCCGCATTAGGCCAGAGCGGCGTCTACATGGACCTGCCTCCAAATTGCAAGCTCGTAGTGCTGCTCCTTTTAAAATTTTAAAGCAAATTGGTCCAAATGCCTATGTTGTTGATATCCCACCACATCTTGGTTACCATTCTACTTTCAATATTGAGGACCTAGTAGCTTATAAAGGTTATTTCATTCCCTCAGATGACCCTTTGTTACCTCATTTTGTGGACCTTGATCCCGAGTATTTGGCCACTTCGAACCCACTACCACCTCTCACAGCACACAGATAAAATTGATGCCATTCTAGATAAAGAAACTGTGTTTACTAATGATGGAGAGGTTCAGCGCTTCCTCGTTCGTTGGGTTGGTTGACCAAATTCTGATTGTATATGGATCTCCAGAGAGACACTACAACAATTGAATCCAGATTTATTGGAGTTTTATCGAAGTTAGCAGGATTTTCCTTGGCCTAAATCGCCTCCCGTTCACTCAATAGGGGTTGGTGAGGACACTAGGTTCAGACCTCCATTGACACATTTTTACAGACGTCGGAAGAAACTTGCCCAACCACTTAGCTTATGGTTGGGAGATTGATGACAGCCTAGAGTGATATATCCAGTCGACAGGGTCGAGTTTTTCTCCCACCCCGGTAGAGTTGATAAGGACATCGGACGTGACTTATTTTATTTAAGTTTTATTTATCTTTTGGACTATTATTTAAGATTTGGACTTGTATGGGCTCGGGCCCAAGCTCGTTAGGGTTGTTTAACTATTTAAACCTATTTTACATTATAATTTTTAGTTGATGATGAATGAATATTATTTGGTGGCTTATGGCGTTTTTCTCTCTTCCTGTTTCTTTCATCCCTTCTGTTGAATCCCCTTCCCTTTTTCTCTCTAATTTCCCCTCCCCATAGATCTATTCTAATTTTGCAATTAACTGTCCCGTTGGTGCTGCATCAATTTGGCTTTCTCATATTATTGGTGATAATAACATTGTTAGGAGTTCTTTTTATGACCTATTGGCCAATTATTTAGATCAGTTGTTTATGTCAATAAATGCTTGTTTTCGAGAACAGAGCATTGGATTCTTGCACCAAACATAAGTACAGTGAATTGCCAATGATAATGGAACTTCTTCAACATGTTTGTAATGTCATCTCATGGACATAATAGATTTCAAGTGCCGAGTATGGTAATTATTGACTTCAATTCTTTCTTTTAAATGAAATGCTGTTAAAGCGAAATTGTGAAAATGAAAATTAGATTTTTAACTTACATCTGGATATTGATTGTTGATTGCGACTGACAATTTTATCTTATCTGGTGGTGGGAGAGAAGTATTAGTGAAGAAAGTTTTGAAGTGAGGGCAAGGATTGTCAAATATACTTAATGATACTCAGTAAGACTTGATACCTCTCAGTGTGATAGGTTCTCCCATCATGTAGAACCAAAATCACAACTAAATATGGTAACTGTCAATTATAATATTTATTAATGGTAGCCTATTAAATGAGGTAGCTTTCCTTTAATTTTTCTTTCCTTATATTCCATTGACATCCTCCTCAAATTTATGCTTCATTAACTAGCATTGGTGACATTGCTTGTACCCACGAAGAAGAGATCCAAATCATAGCAACTATCTACGAAAAATAGTGACAGCGAGAGACCTAAGAACAAATAGTACAGAAAACAGCCAAGAACCACTCCAAGAACACTTCAAAGCCACTCCAGATAGCTCACTTCCTAAAATAAATTTCCAAAAAAAAATTCACGAAGTGTACCGATCACACACAGTGAGTTCTATTAGTTGGGAGAACTGAATCGTACACATAATTTATGTTCTAACAAAAGCTCCAACAGCCAATGCACGTGCCAAAAATTCAACAATGTATCTAGCCAAGATGCTGTAGTGGGAAGAAATCCCACTGAACAATCTACAACAAAAACTCAAAAATCTCCTAAAATTTTAAATATAGTAGCCTAACAGATATAACCTATCACCCAAAGCATAGCATTCAGCCCACATTCCACGGAAAACAGCCTATTAACCCAAAATAACCAATCCACTCCATAACAGCTCATTTAATACACCAGCTGAATACTAAAGGCCAAGCCTATAGTATCCCAATAATCCAAACCCACACTTGCCTATTTTTCATCTTTCCTAGTCCATTTTTCCCAACCTACTCTCACACTTGCTACTGTCAATTGGATAAGCCCTTGCTCAGCTCAGAGCACAATGGTACATTCATGTATCTCTTCTTCTCTCAGATTTAATTCCTCCTCCTTTTCTCTCTCTACGCCAAACCCTAGCTCTTCTGTTTCCTCTTCCTTTAAGGCCCTCTCTCCCCCTTTCCAACCCCTTTTATTGAGAAAATCAAATCCCCAAAAATCTTCTGTGAAGGCCTTTTATGCTTCGGAGTTCTATGCATTGACGGTGGCCTTGTGACGGAGTTGGAACACCATGTCATGACCTCAACGACCTTCTATGGAGTGCCAAATGCCTATTCACTTATCCTTGTCTCATCCATACCATACATCTTGATTATCTTGAAGCTGGTGTAGATATATTAATCTGACCATACTGGTGACAGTAGAATTCTCAAGCATAGGTCCATCATGGTTTCGGCATCCGTGGGGAGTTACAGGGCTTATCTAGCTGATGTTTCTAAATACAGTGGTTGCTGTGGAGATGCTGTGGAGATAAAGTTTCTTAAAGACTTTCATTGAAGAAGGGTTAAGGCTTTTGCGGACTCTGGTCTTGATCTTATAGCTTTTGAAATAGTACCAAACAAGTTGGAAGCTCAGGCTTTTGCTTAGGTTCTTGAGGAAGAAGACATTAATATTCCTACGTGGCCATCCTTCCAACTCTAATGATGGTGTTAACGTGGTTTAGCGCGATTTTTTTTTGAATGTGTTGCCGTTGCTGAATCGTCCAAGAAAATTATTGTTGTAGGAATTAACTATACCCCTCTAGATTTATTCGAGACCTAATTTTGTCCATCAAGAAGGTAACAGACAAACCAATACTTATTTGCCCAAATAGTGCAGAGATAGAGACAATTAGAGGGAGAATTATCAGAATAATAGACTGGACAAGAGGAGCTTGTGAGAAAGTCCAACCAAGATAACGAGAGAAAATCTAAGGAACTGGCTCTAGTTCTGATACCGTGTCAAATATATTCAATGATACTCAATAAGACTCGACACCTTTCAATGTAAGAAATTCTTTCATTAGATAGTACCAAAATCACAATTAATTATGGTAATTATCAATTATAATACTTATTAATGGTAACCTATTAAATATATTCCACTGACAAGGTTTACATTTCTGCTAATTGGGATCGGTTAAATGATTGTAATTATCCACCCATCACTTCAGGACCTTAAGACTAATTTTGGTTAATTTATTCTATCATATGAAAGTAGGGATGTCAATTTAACTCGTTGGTTTGGGCCGTCTATGGCTTGGCCCGAAAAAATCCCGAGTTGAGGCTCAAGCCGAGTTCCATTTTGATGTTGGCCCAAGCCCGAGCTAGCCCTTCTGGCTCTCCGGCTCGGGCTCACGGGCCTTTTAAAAAAAAAAGGAAAAAAATGAATTTAAAGGCAACAACACGTTGCCTTTTAAAATGTAGCATGTTGCCCTTTTTAGGCAGTAAAATGCTATCTTTTAAGGCAGCCGAGTGCTGCCTTAAAAAATGTAGAAAACATCAGTTATTTAAAAAATAAAAAAATAAAAAAGAGCATGCCCGAAAGCTCGGGTTGAGCCTAGATTTTTTGGCCGAGCCTAGAAAATAGCTCGCACCATTTTACGTGAGCTGAGCCCGAGCCTCGAATTTCGGCTCGCGAACCGACTTGGATAGTTGATATCCCTACATGAAAGTATAACATGACATAGGAGACTAAGAATTTTGATTTGCATGTTCCTATATTCTCTGTTACTAGTTCCATTAGCCCACGTAAATATGAGTTGAATTTCAGAATTAGTGAATGTCTGAGAATTTCACAATTTGTTTAGTGTTTGCAAATTTCTTTTATATTGCACTAGCTTATCAAGATTCAAGAGTACTGGCACTTATGGTCCATGTTATTTTGTATTGCATCATTTTCCATGTTTATTTCTTGTCCACAATGAGTACATGGCTCTATCACATAATTGGTTAGATCAGTATTTGAAATATCATTGATGCAGTTTAGGATGGAGGGGTCTTATTTGAATTTCATTATTTATGTTTTCTGTTTCGTATTGAACATTTGGCTTCCTCAAATTATTTGTGACACCATTATATGCGGAATAGCATTGATGCAGTTTCAGATCGAGATTTTGTTTTGGAGTTACTTTCTGCAAATTCCATCACAGCAATCCATCTCTCTCGGCTTGGTGAAGAATGGGTATTGTGGGCTTCAGAAGAATTTGGGTTTCTCACACCTAGTGACTCTGTTTCAACTGGAAGCAGTATAATGCCACAGAAGAAGAACCCAGACCCAGTGGAACTTGTTCGAGGGAAGTCTGCCAGAGTTGTTGGAGACTTGGTTTCACTTCTGGTATTATGCAAGGGACTTCCTCAGGCGTACAACCGAGATTTACAGGTAAGCGATTACACCCATTGCCATTTAAATTTGTTCCTAGTAGACTTAATGATCCTCTATTTAATCAAAAAGCTTGAACTTTCCTCCTTAAACAGGAAGACAAGGAGCCTGTATTTGACAGCGTTAAGACAATATTAGGAATGCTTGAAGTGTCAGCAGAATTTGCAAAGAACATCACTTTTAATTGGGAAAGAATAAAGAGTGCTCTACCTGCTGGTCATCTTGATGCCACAACGCTTGCTGACTACCTTGTCAAGAAGGTATACTATGTTCCTTGATTCCTTGTTTGTTTTTCCTTTTTAAAAATACAAACGATGTTTTCCACTGTAGTTTGGCCCCACTATAGATTGAAATTATTGGTCGTTTGAGTCCTTTTTTTGAAGTTAAATGCTAATGACAAAATGATGTATTGAGTGCAGGGAATGGCATTCAGAACTTCTCATGATATAGTTGGCAGGTCCGTTGCCATGTGTGTTTCCAATAACTGCCAACTTCAGGAACTGAGTCTTGATAAGCTGAGAAGTATAAGCCCAGTGTTTGATGAGGATGTCTACGAGTTTCTTGGAGTCGAAAATTCAGTAAAAAAGTTCACTTCATATGGCTCCACTGGTTCAGAATGCGTTTTAGATCAACTTAACTACTGGGTCACTAAACTTGGCATTAATGGATAGTGTGGTGTTATCGTGGAATTTTGACTGAAATTCGTGTAATCAATTTTTAGGTGTTGGACTTTGCCACCACAAAAAAAAAAAAAAGGGTCATCTTTCTCGATTGGAGAAAATTTAGCAAACGATGAATTACGTGTAATGTGAATGCTTGTAATTTTTGTGGACTGGAGTTGAATTAAATTGTAAGATTGGATTGCTGTCTCTGTAGAAGTCCAGCCCATATATATATATGTGTGTGTGTGTGTGTGTGTGTATTTATACACACACAATCCATTTGACACGGGTTAATAGTCCAACAAGTAGAAGAATCTGGAATGGCTAAATAAAAATGCATTTCTGTTTTGTTTTAACAACTTCAGCCAGATCAAGACGCGTGGCATGTTGAAGGCTGTTGGATCAAATGAATCGGCTTCTTTCATTTAGAAGGAGCTCAAAAGTCTAGGGTTTAGACTTGGTCATTTTTCGAACAGCAGCTTCTCGATTTTTCTCTCTGTAATTTTTGGATTTTCTCTTTGATCTGTGAGATCGTTTAGTTGGTTGAGAGAAAGTGTATTTGTATGAACTCTTGTGTGAGTTCTTCTTGTTGAGAAGTGGCTGGTCGTTGGGTGTTTGAGTAGGTGAACTGTGTGTTCGTTTTGTAACTCAAAGTTGCTGTTTTTGGTTGGTGATTTAGTGGATTCGAGCTTAAATCCTTATGGATGCTCAATGGGGACTTGGCGATCTTATGAATTGTTGAACCTCGGGGCTTCAGCTGAAAAATCTTGTGTTCTTTACTGTTCATGTTCAAATTTACGTTTTATACTTGATTTTTGCCTCGAATATTTTTCGGTCTTTAAACTGTCCAGAACTTACAGTGGTATCAGAGCTTGGAAATAGTGTTTTTCAGTCTCCTTAGTTACGGATCTGAAAGTCGTGTCATCGGCCGGAAAGAGAAACAGCAGATCTCTACGATCTGCTAACATTCCTTTTTGAAAAAAAAAAAAAATTTCACATACAACTGAAGCTTTCTTGGCACTGTTAGTGTGCTTCTTCATCTTCACGTGTTTAGTGTTAAATTTTCTTGAAAAGAAATCGATTGTTGCTGTTTTAAAATTTTGGCAGAAAGTTGTTGGTGTCGAACTTTTTGAAAGAAACCGAAGTTTCTTGGTTACCTTTTTTGGAGGTCTTTTAATTCATGTTGTTGCTGGTTCTAAAACTTGACAGAAATCCTTTGGTGAACTTCTTGCACCCTGCAGTGTGTGGGTGTCATTTAAAAAAAAAAATAAAAATAAACAGTTTTTATATTTTGTGAACTCTTGTTCTGTTGGTGACGATTTTTTACAAAATAAACGGAAGCCTTTGAATATCTTTTGATTATTGCAGCGTTGACATTTTTTGTTTGTGTGTTGTGGTACCTGTAGTAGTCAGGTAACAATGTTCTTGTAAAAGAATCAGATAGTTTTGAGTATCTTTGGTATCTGCAATTCTTGTGAGATCATTCTTGGTAACAAAACGTGTTTCAAACTTAAGGGCTCATTGAACCTCCTCTAATTCTACCTATGTCTAGGGTTCCCTAAGAGAATCCCAGAAACTTTGGGGATTAGGGCTTCGGTTTGAGAAACCTGCATTTTTCTAAAAACTGATTTTGAAACTCTTCCACTGTGTGTGGATACTGAAACAAACCAAAATCATATTTCCATTGATAAATTTTTGTACATTCTGTGTGATTTGTACTAATACTCAAATTGATCTTCTCAGGTGTTGAATTGCCCAAGAATAATTGCTTCAAAGGTACATACATTGTATTTACAGTTTTTGATAGCTTACTGTGTGTAAGTTATGTGATTAAATTCTATTGCATGCTTAAGGATCTGCATTGAATGTGTCTAATTTGGTTGATATACTCCTGTACACATTACACCAAAGCACTATCTATACATAATTTGAAATTGGAATAATAAGACAGTGATCTTTGTGACATACTGTTGACTGAATAACTACTGTGATATATCAATTTTATCATACTTGTAAATAATTTCACACTGCTGCACACCATGAACTCTAAGGTAGATGTCCAAATTTGGGATGGCAAATGAGACTTTAGTCTCTGGCGTTAGAAAATAAAAGCACTCATGTTACAATTAAAATGTGCTAAGACTATTGATGAATCTTGGTCAGAAACCTTATCTGAAGCTAGGAAAATTGAACAAGATGAACTGGCCTGGAGCACTTTGTTTCTACACTTATCTGATACTGTGATTAGGAAAGTAGGAGAAACTAAAACGAATTGTAGACTACCTTAGAGAAGCACTACCTCACTAAGACTGTTCCAAATAAATGTTTTCTTTGGAGACAGTTCTTTAGTTTTAAGTTTGATCCTAATCTTGACACGAGAAATAATATGGATAGATTTAATAGGATCACACAAGACTTAGCAAACTGTGATGAGAAATTTCTGATGAATAGAAGGTAGTTGGCCTACTTAATGCTCTAGGAGATAAATAAAAAGACATAAAAAATGCTCTAGAGTATGGTAGGAGTGATCTCACTGTTGAAATAATTCACAGTTCTTTTTTGAATAAAGAACTTGAATTAAAATCTGAACACAAAGAAGTGTTTCATGTTGAGGGTGTGTCATCAAATCAAAAACCACATATGAAAGGAGTTAGTAACTTCAGTTATTCCAATTTTAACAAGAATAAAAATTTTAACAAAAGACAATGGAATAACACCAAAGGAAAATGTAAGAAACCAATTAAAGGAAAAGCAAACAGCAGCAGTAACAAAAAATGTTTTTACTGTGGAAACAAGGTCACTTTATTAAAGATTATTTTAAAAAGGCAAATGACCAAAAGAATGGGTCTAACACTTGCTTCTTTAGCAGTTGCTGCTAATTATAAAGAAGCAGTAGCAAATATTGGAGTTGCCTATGTATCTCTATCTGAAAATACTGATTAGGACTAGGTAATGGATTCAGGTTGTTCTTTTCATATGACACCCAATATAGGCTGCATTTCAGACTTTTATAGTTTGGATGGAAGATTTGTAAAACTTGGGAATGATGAGTCATGCCAAGTGAAGGGAATTGGAATTGTGCTGTTGAAATTTAATAATGGCGATCACATGTTAAAACATACAAGATATGTACCAGCACTCAGAAGAAATCTCATATCCCTAGGAGTTCTTGATGGTGAAAATTACCAAATAGGTATTAAAAATGGCTTTACAAATATAACAAGAAATCAAGAACTTATCGTCGGTTTACCTAAGTTTAATGAAATTTATGTAATAGGTGCTGAAATAATTTCACCTAAAAATTCTGTGAATTTTGTCACACATCCTGATAAATCAGAATTGTGGCATAAAAGACTTGCCCACTTAAGTGAAAAAGGTTTAAAAACACTATCATATCAAGGGGCATTTGGGAAGGATAATGTTCAAAAATTGACTTTTTGTGAACACTGTATCATGGGAAAACAAGTTAGACCGCCTTTTAAGGCAGGGCTGCAAAAATTCCAAGATGTCCTTGAATAACATTCCGATTTATGGGGATCTGCACCTATTCCTACTGTATCTGGTTACAGATATTATCTTTTTACAACTGATGACTATTCAAGAAAAACATGGATTTTCTTACTAAGATCTAAATCTGATACCTTTGCAATTTTCAAAGAATGGAATTTACTAATTGAAAATCAGACTGGTAAGAAGATAACAATTTTAAGAACTGACAATGGGCTTGAATTTTGCAATACCGAATTTGATCAATATTGCAGTAAACAAGGGATAATGAGACATAAAACTGTGAGCTATATCCCACAACAAAATGGGGTTGCCGAGAGGTTAAGTAGAACAATTTCTGAAAGGACCAGATGTATGTTAATCAGTTCTGGCCTTCCAAAAATCTTCTGGGGCAAGGCTGTAAAAACAGCCTGTTATCTTATCAATAGATGTCCTTCCAGCTCTCTAAATAACAGAATTCCCAAACAAATCTGGTCTAGTTCAATGCCAGATTATTCTTACCTAAGAACCTTTGGATGTGCAACTTATGCACATCATACTGAGTCAAAATTGGACCCTAGATCATTGAAGGGTGTGTTCTTAGGATATTGAGAAGGTGTTAAAGGCTATAGACTGTGGTTAAGAGATGTGAGAGGTTATAAGGTGATAATAAGCAGATCTGTTATCTTTAATAAAGATGATTTTCCTTGTCTTAGTGACAAATCTGGTGAAAAGCTAGGAAAAGATGACTTTAGTATCACAGAAATTAATTTTGATAGCCAAAATACTGATGACCAGGCTCAGTTTGAGGTAGAGCTACATCAGGTAGAACCACAAAATGTCTCTGATGTTGAAATATTGGAAGATGAACAACATCAGGAGCCTGCACATGACCTGCAGGGCTACTAGCTTGCTAGAGACAGAGATAGGAGGCAAATAAGACCTCCTTTCAGGTATCAGTATGCTGATTTTGCATCTGATCAGATTGATCTGATCTGCTTGACATAGAACCTGCCTCTATTTCTTCCAAAGAATCCCCCAAGTGGATTGTTGCGATGGAAGATGAAATGAACTGACTCTTTAAAAATGAGACCTGGACTTTAGTTGAAAAACCCAAAGATTTTAAATTGTTTGATTGTAAATGGGTTTATAAAATTAAAGAGGGTGAGACTAAAGCTATTGATAAAAGGTTTAATGCAAGACTTGTAGCTAAAGGCTTTAACCAAAGGGAAGGGATAGATTGCAACAAAATATTTTCACTAGTTGTTAAATATACATCCATTAGAGTCCTACTTGCTATAGTGACACAATTTGACTTGGAATTAGAACAACTCGATGTGAAAACTGCCTTCTTGTATGGTTCTTTAGATGAAACCATATATATGACTCAACCAAGAGGGTTTGAAATGGTAGGAAAGGGAAACTTAGTGTGTCTCTTAAAGAAATCCTTTAATAGCCTAAAACAGGCCCCTAGGCAGTGATATAAAAGATTTGACTCTTTTATACAAGGTTTGAACTTCAAGAAATCTGAATATGATTCCTGTTTCTATTATAAGAAAGAAGGTGAATCTGATTTTCTTTATCTGCTTTTGTATGTTGATGATATACTTCTTGCTGGTCATAATTTTGTTGCACTTAACTCAATTAAAGAACATCTGAAATCTGAATTTGAAATGAAAGATTTAGGACTAGCTAGAAAGAAAAAGAGATAGAATAAATGG